ATTTAGCTCAAATAATCGGATTATAATCGACTAAATTGCGATTAAAAATCGATTATAATGACACCCGTTTTTTTATTCGATTAGAATGGCCAAATCGATTATAATTAATTAAACAGAAATAATGGATTATTTATAGTTCTCTTATGATCTTATTTTCTACTAATTGTACAGATTATTCAGGCATAAACTACTATTCACTAGTGACATTCTGAACTATCCGGACTACTCATACATGAAAAAAACGGTACTTCACTTTTTCCATATGAAAAATTCTTAAAAATGGCATTTTTCATTACTGTTTCTAACTATCAAAGTTGCCAGCTTCATTCATCCCAGTCTTTCTTCGTACATTGCTTCATTATCAAGAACATTTACTTTTGTACTCTCCTAGTATGCTTGCATATTTTCCTACTCTATTATGAAATGAAAAAAGAATGAGAATCAACCTTTTCGATTTCTTCATCGTATGAGTCATCCTAGTGCTTCCGCAGACTTAGTTCTGTCACTTAGACATATGTCGGAAGTGGAAAAAGGAGAAGTAGACACTAGTTGAAAAAGACACGTGAGCATCACATAGAGTAAAATTCCCTAATTCGAACGGACTTTTGAAAGATTAACTTCTTTTGATTATTGTGAGGTTGTTTCTTAAGAAAGTAGATAACTTTTTATATTTTCGGATAGAGAAAAGTGTGCTGAACATGATGGTTAAAAACTTTTAATTAATCCTGTGAGAGATCACATCTCTCACTTTGTTCTCGTTTATTTGGACATACACATTTTGTCTTTCTGTTTCAGTCCATCTTTTACGTATGTACACATGTCCTTAGATATATATATATTTCTCTTTTTCTTTGTTTTTCCGTCCTCATTTCATCTTCAATATAAGTGTGTGTATTTATCAGTTTAGTTAGTAGTTTTACGTTGCACTGTTCACATCGTTTTTGTCGTCGACGTTTGTGTTGATTCATTTTTGAAAATACATTACTTAGAGAAATTTACATACAAACACATTCTCTAACATGGCGACCCTGGCTTAAAAGCATTTGTTATTAACGATATTAAACTTTGTAGATCTTTATTTAGCGATTGTCCATTTACAGAACCGTCTCTTTGCGAGTCGATTCGATTAAATAAGCCGTATATCCGATTCTCTTAAAGCAGAATCGTTAGAACCGACTTCGAAAGAAGTAGATTCGTATACTAGAAATCGATTCGCTTTAGAGGAGGTTCTTATTTGAAAACTGAAAAATATTTAACTATTGGTGAGTACAGTTTTCATTTTTGATTTCTTCTAGCCGTTTAAGTTCATAGTTGAGTGTCTCAGAGTGTTGTGATCACATAAGTAACTTTGATATTAATTCTCAATAAAACCTAACAACGAAGGGCACTAGGAGATACATCCGTCAGAACAATTTACAATTACTCTCTCATCATCGGATTACCAACGGTATTACCGATAAAGATAGAACTCAACAAAATTCATCGTTAAATATGTCCGACGACGACGGCGTATTAGGTTCATTAGTTGCAACAGCAAAAAAAGCTTGGTTTGCAGAACTTGCGAATTTCTCTGGTGAACTAGAGGGCAGCACCGTCGAACAATTTTTAAAAAATTTAAAATCTATTACGGCTGGTAACGAAAAAACAAAAGATGAAGAAAGGTTACAAGTGGTTCGTGGAAAGCTCGTTAAAACAGCAGCCAAATGGTTTGATGATAATCAAGAATTATTTGATAATCAATGGAATAGATTTGAATCCACATTTAGGAATCGTTTTTCATCATCAATCCAATCGCAAAACAAATTTGAAAAGTTATTACAACGGAGGCAACAACAGAACGAATCAGTTATCACATACTATGATGAAAAAGTGTCTTTATGTCGTGAATGCGATTCAGCAATGGATGATAAAGTAATAATTCAACATTTATTAAGCGGAATAAGACCGGATATTGCAAAACAAGTGTTAAGATTCGACCCACCCGTTGACACGTTGGATAAATTCTGGAAAGTCGCAAAGAAAGAAGAAGATCTGAACGAAACTTATGACAAATTAGCAAATTTGAATTTACATCACCAACAACAACCATGGTTCGCACTTAATTCAGAAACCAGTTCATTTACAACGCAACAGCAGCGTCCACCAGTGTATCAACATCCAAACCATTCGGCACGAAAATCATCATCATATAAAGATAGTTATACTTATCCCAATAAAGATTTTAGTTTAAACCAAGCACGATTCCCTTCTAAAAATCAACAGCCACGGAGTTCATTGCTACAATTTTATCCGTGCAAAGTTTGCGGAAAAACAAATCATCGAACAGTTGAATGCAAACATCGATATTCATCGGGGTGTTTCAATTGCGGAGAAAATCATGCAGTCCGCGATTGTCGCGAACCACCACATTTTCAATGACTGGGACACGTGATGGCAGTGTTCCCAGTATATCACAGAAGCCATCAGCATTAGCAACATCGTCGTCATCGTGTCCGATTTTCATCAAGATTTTAGTCAACAACAAACCAACTCATGCAATTGTAGACACGGGATCTGCCATTACAATAATACATCAAGATTTATTAAAAATTATCCACCACAAGAAATTACTTTATAAACAAATAAAATGTGACGCAGCAAATTCATCACCTATCAACATCATCGGAGAAATAGAGTTAGAAATTAAAATCGGGACCATTAAAACGCAAATTATTGCTCAAGTAGCAACAAATCTAATTACTGTCATGTTACTTGGAAATGATTGGATCAATAAATACAAAATTCATCTGTTAAGTGACGAACAACGGCTCACGATTCCTGCATTTAAAGGCCGAAGATTATCATTTCCATATGTCGCGCCACCTGACCTTAGTTATCCAGTTTATCTCGCTGAACAAATTACCATACCAGCTTCTTCACAACGACTAATCAATGTTAATTTACAAGTAAAACAGGCAAATGATTTAATTTTTCAACCTATTAACCATCTTCAATCAAAACTTTTATTTATTCCAAATGCATTTGTCAATGTATTAAATTATACAACCAAAGTGCTTCTTATTAATGCACAGAACAAACAAAGAACATTAGCGAAGAACACCAAGGTTGGAATTATCTCAAGAGAATTAGAACCTTCTGTCTGTTTGGTTCTAAATAAACCATCATCAAATTTGAATCAAGATCATTCATCAAGGCTCTTGTCGAACAGCAGAACCGTCCGTCTTCAAGCGGATGATTCGTCTAATCAAACGGAGGCTCAGTGTGATAAATGTCATAAAAAGTTTTTAAGCGGAAACGATTTACAGCAACATTTACGTGAAATATGCTATCCTCAAGAAATTCGTGTCCATATTAACAAATTAACACAACACATAGAAGATCCAACGCAAAAAATACAGGTGCAAGATATTCTCTGGCGAAATAAAGATATATTTGATTCAACGCCATCCATCGTTAATATCGAACCACAATCAGCTATTAAAACTGGTAATCATCCTCCAATCTTTTGTAAACAGTATCCAGCAAGTGCCAAAGATCAGCAGACCAAAGCAGAAGAAGTCAATAAATTACTGCAAAGAGGCCAAATTGAAGAATCAACATCGCCGTGGTCCTCACCTGTCGTACTCGTGAAAAAGAAGGATGGCACCATTCGATTCTGCATTGATTATAGGAAGCTGAACGATGTTACGATAAAAGACGTCTTTCCCCTGCCAAGAATCGATGAAATCTTCGATGAGCTAGCAGCCGCCGTATTCTATACAAAATTTGATTTCAAAGCAGGATACTTTCAAATACCACTGGCACGTCAAGATCGATCCAAAACGGCATTCAGCACAAGACATAATCATTACCAGTTTACGGTGCTCCCTCAAGGAATCAGCAACGGCCCGCCGACATTTCAGCGCATAATCAATCATATATTAGGACCATCCCGTTGGCACTATGCCCTGGCTTATATCGACGACATCATCATTTATTCATCGACATTTGAAGAACATCTAATTCATCTTAATGAAATTTGCAAGAAATTAAAAGATGCGAAATTCAAACTAAATCCCGATAAATGTACTATAGTAAAAACTAAAATTGAATATCTTGGACACGTAATCGAACAGGGCAAAATCCATCCATGCCCGAACAACATTCGCGGCTTAATTAATACACGAATCCCAAAAACACCGGCTGAAGCGTCCAGGTTTTTGAAAGCTGCCGAATACTACAGGAAATTTATTCCAAAATTCTCCATCATCACTGAACCTCTGCGTAAATTCGTGCCAACAACCAAAACAGAAGCCAGAAAATACCAGAAGCAACAAATCACATTGACAGCTGAAGAATTACAAGCATTCGAACAATTGAAGCAAATCTTGACATCTGCTCTCGTCCTTCGTCTACCAAATAATAAATATGCGTTCAAGGTTCAAACAGACGCCTCCGATCAAGGCAATGGATGTGTTTTATTACAAGATTACCCTGATGGAGAACACCCATCTGGATATATTTCAAAGAAATTTACTTCATCACAGAAAAAATGGTCACCAATTGAGCAGGAATGCTATGCTCTTATTTGTGCTCTTGATAAATGGCATATATATCTTAGTGGTACAAAATTTACATGGGAAACAGACCACCGTGCGTTGATACACTTGAAAAATAAAGCACAAACAAACAAAAGATGTGAAAGATGGAGATTGAGAATCGCCGAATACCAGATTCAAATTAAACATATTAAGGGAATAAATAACCCAATGCCTGATTACCTTTCACGATCTCCGGTAGATGATCCAGAAGAAGATCCCGACGAATTAATCGACGTATCATCAAAATCGACACAAACAGAAGCAATTGCATCTTCTTTACCTATTGTCTTTGCTGTCCAAACTCGCACTATGGCAAAACAAAACACAGCCGATCAATCTGTAGTTAAACCTCCTGTTTCAACGACCCCATTAACTCTAGAAGTCAAACCTGAAAGCTGTATCATACCATTCACATTAGACGAATTGAAAATGGCACAACAGAATGATGATGAAACAAGGCAAATTATTGATGATATTAAAAATCACCATAATTATTTTACAAAAAACGGTCTATTATTGCGTCGCAATACTCCACCGGTGCCACTGGTACCAAAAGGAATTCTTCGTAATAGCATTCTCAAAATATATCATGATACGGCAGCCAATGGATCGCATTTCGGCCGTGATAAAACCCTACACAAAATCAGAGAACGATATTATTGGCCATCCATGACAAAAGACATCCAACACCACCTCAAATCATGTATCCAGTGCGCGCAATTCAATCCACAACGACGAAAAGCACCTGGACATTTAAAGCCAATACCACCTCCAAGCGGCGTTTGGGAATTACTAAGTATGGATTTCCACGGCCCGATCACACCGTCATCAAAACGTGGCAACAAATATATAATCACCATCACCGACGTCCTCTCAAAGTTCGTTATAGCTAAATCCGTGCGGGATTGTTCTGCAACAACGGTAGTCCGTTTTTTAAAAGAAGATGTCATTACCAAATTCGGTACACCCAAATGCATTCTAACGGACAACGGCACACATTTCACTGCATCATTAACGGAAGAACTATTTAAACAATTCGGTGTCGTCCATTTGTACACGACACCCTACCACCCTCAAACAAATGGCCAAATTGAAAGATTTAATAGTACTATGGATTCAAAGATTGGAGCACTTTCAAACCAAAATAAAAGTGACTGGGACGAACAATTATCTTTCGTTATTTTCAGTTATAACACTTCGATCCATTCCACAACAAAAGAAGTGCCATTCAAATTGTTATTCGGTCGTGTTCCAGTTCTTCCTTTTGATCATCAGGACGAAATCGTTTCCATCCCTCAAGACCCGGATTATACCAAAAAACTAGATGAATATTTATCATCTTTAACGCAAGAAGCAAGAAATAATATTGCGAATAATCAAGCACGATATAAAATACGTTATGATTCAAATCGTCAAAATCCGTCGTATCGAATCGGCGACTTAGTTCTCATCAAGAGCCTTGGCATGCGTTACAAATTTGACGTACGATATGAGGGCCCCTTTAGGATAATTCAACAAAACGGCCAAAAAACATTCGTCGTGGAACATGTAAAAAAGAATACATTACGTCGACAAGTGACAGTCGATGTAATGCTACCATTATTTGAAAGAAATTTATCACTCTCGTAGAACCGGCCGTTCACTCGGCAGATTCGTCAATGATCAACCCTGCTAAAACGGGAGAATTACACTACTAAAGGATTAGTTTATGAAGAAGACATGGCTTAGCAAGGCTAGACGGGGAGTAAACTATTTTGTGTTCACTGTCCAGATGGGCTGCCATATTCTAATTTATAGTTGACCCTGTCGTATGTGATTCAACTGCTTGATGAATCATTGAATTGATTTGGAATATTATTCTAAAACTGCAGTTCTTAACACCTGGTATTCGCGATATTCAGAATTGATAAGAACAAATGATTTAACAAGATTTTGGCATATTGCATTGATCATCACACCACCGTCATCATAATTTAATAGAGTTTTGCATAACAACCTAGTGCTATAATTTCTTTACAATTTTTAAAAAAAAAAAAAGTTTGCTTAATGTAATCACAACATCTCTCACAGCAGGAAGAAATTGATTGTCTTCAAGACCGATTAATAAATGCAAGATTAACAAAAAATCAACGTCGATCAATTAGAAAAAATATTAAAAATTTGAAATATTTCTTGACATATGACGTATTCGAACCGTTAAATTTTACAACTGAACATGTTACGTATAGAACAACAGAATTTCAGTTACAAGATTATATAAATAAAGCAAGCAATGCTGTCCGTTTCTTCCTTGACACCGAATCGATTATTCAACCTCATACTCGAGCTCCTAATCGTCCCGCTCTTATTCAAATTCAAATAGTCCACCCAAACGAATCGTCTCTTGTCCTCCTCTTCGAAACGAAATTTATGCCAAGAACAACGTCCCCGAAATTCACATTAGTTCAACAATTATTCAAGACCATTTTAACCTCGAAAGCAACAATTCATTCGTGGGGTTCAATCCGTGAACTTGATAATTTCGTTCCGTTTGGTTTATTCGATGAATCACAAATTTTAAATGCAAACTCCATCGATCAACAAATAAATTATCATATACTAACCTTACAATCCAACTGTCATTGTGAACTATGTAGTCAAAAATTAGAGAACGATCCATTTTCACTTCAAGATGCATTAGTCCATTCGAGCCGTTTATTTTTAAACAAGCAATGTACGATTTCCAAATTTGATTGTGGCTTGGACCCTCGACTTTTCTCACGTACTCGAGAACAAACAATTCATTGTAAACAACTCAGTGACTATGCAGCAGCAGATTGTCTTGCGATTCAACATTTGTTCACAAACGGATTTTTAAAGGATATCCAACTTCATTATCATCATCATTATCCAGATTCATCACCGTCTCCTCAACGTTTTCCTACTTTACCATTGGCACCACCCCTCGTCTCATTACCATTGGAAGACAACGACTATGAAATGATTTCTGATGATGAAAATAATAATAGCACAACAGAACAACAACGCACAAATGAAGCACCAACATGTTTAAGGATGATTCTCAAACGTCCAGAACTTTGGAAACAAGTAGAAGATTCTGAAGAAGAAGAACAACCACCGCTACCAAAAAACTCTCGACGACCGATTTCGATCGAAGAATATAGACAACGACGTGCGCTAATAACAGTAACATCAATGACGTCTCCCACTCCCGTTTCATTATCACCAAAACTTCCACAACAGGAACACGAACAATCCCAACCGTAAAAGAAATAGAACAACTCACATTGCCTGAATTAGTTGTTAATGCTTCCCCCGTTTCCGTACGTTCGTCTTCACCGTTACCATCCTCTTCGAATCAACAATTCATCCCGGTTGAACCACCACTGTGTGCTCCAACTTCAGTTCGTCGCAAACCTCGTTCAAAAGCCAAGAAAGAAAGAGACAATATCAAACAAAGAGACAAACTACGACGAAAACATTATCAAATTGAAGTCGTACGAAGAAACATACACCAATCTTTTACTCATACACGTGTGAAAACTCTCCTACATCAAGTCAACATTCACAACAAAAACGTTTTGATTAATAAGAATGGAAGAAACAACAATCTCTCTCTCTACATTGGTCTACCGAATCTCGAAGCTCAGCAACATGCTGAACAAATTTTAACTCCATGGTGGTTTTCAAGACAACATTATCTGCATCTCATTTCATGTCGTTACCCATGACTTGTCATACTCGTGATTAGACAAGAACAGTAAAAAAAAAAAAAAAAAACAAAAAACAAAAAAAAAACCAGTTCTAGATCAAAAACAGTCAAAGCCACACAAGTGACTTTATTTTTGTAAGATGTTTATTTTTTTCCCCCATAAAGGGACTTTTGATGGACAGCATTTTCGTTGAGAGGGAGGATGTGAGAGATCACATCTCTCACTTTGTTCTCGTTTATTTGGACATACACATTTTGTCTTTCTGTTTCAGTCCATCTTTTACGTATGTACACATGTCCTTAGATATATATATATTTCTCTTTTTCTTTGTTTTTCCGTCCTCATTTCATCTTCAATATAAGTGTGTGTATTTATCAGTTTAGTTAGTAGTTTTACGTTGCACTGTTCACATCGTTTTTGTCGTCGACGTTTGTGTTGATTCATTTTTGAAAATACATTACTTAGAGAAATTTACATACAAACACATTCTCTAACAAATCCCAAAAATGAATGAGTTATGACTGGTAGAATGAATTAGGAACGGTCCGTTCAAATTGAGTGCCAGTTTCCTAATTCGAACGGACGCATCAAATACAAGAGAAAAATACGAGAAAAAGCAAAATAAGTTGTTTCTACTATCCCAACTGCATGATCAAGAAAAATTTTTGTCACCAAAAATGTTCTACACACTCGACTCTATTTGCCTGCAGCAGTTCAGACCTAACTATCATTTCCTTCCGGACATATTAATTATTCAAAACAGAATGTATCCGTTCAAAT